CTAGAAAATTTCAGACATCTGCAGCACAGTGGCCCTCGAGTGGGCATTCCTGATGCTGAAGATGTTCAGCAGTGTAAAAATGTAAGAAATTTAGGTGCCTCGTTTTAGACGTCATATATGTGCCATGTTTTAAATATGATTTATTGTTTGCATCAAATGAAACAGGAATATTGATGACTTTTTTATGTCTTAATAGGGCAAGTTAGAGCCAACTCAAAAATCCAAAATACTTCAAATACAGGGCTCCAGACTGTGACCAAATGATCTCGAGCACACGATACCGTTACTACACAGTGCTGGGAGATAGATACAGTGAAAAAGCTTTTCAATTTGCCGCAGAATTACTATCGCCGTGAGATCTAGTGAGAAGCGTTCAAATCCAACGCAGAGTTCTCCATTATAAACCATTGATATCAGATCAAACAGCGCTGACATGGAAACCAGGAGAAACATTGTGCCATGATCAATTTTCAATCCACAAATCACCAACATTTACCATGGATTTAATGTAACAACGCTAACTGTGACCATGGTATTGTGGCAAAAAGTCTCAGGGTTTGTACAAACATTTAAGTGTGAAATTCATGCACTTTTCAAGGGCTTTCAAGTGCTTCCACTTTTTTCATCAATTCAGAACTATAAATATTATCTAATTTTTTAAAAAATTGGATCACAAAAAAAAAAGTCATTAAGTCTCATGAAAAACAAAAACTTTCCTTCAAATTGGGACTGAATTGCACAGAAAACAAGTAAAGGGCACTCCTTTTATAAACACTGAAGCTGTCGGTCAGTTCAGAATGATACTATTGAACAACAATGGTGTTGTGGGGAGCTACCCCTTTAAGGACGTTCATTCTGTGGGCTCATCACCTAGGAAGAGGCACAGGAAAAAGAAAAAAAACTGAAATGAACCAAACTGAGTGAGAAAGCAATGTCGTGCTCATATGCAAACTTTCGAACTTTCTAGTGGGAGGAGAACGGTACGGTTCGGTTTATTTTTTTGAGGGATTTTTTTTTATCGAGAACCTTTATTCTAATCTGGACCCATATGATAAAAACAAATTATCACCCGATATCAAAATTACCCATTTATCTAAGATATTAAAAAAAGTTGTATTGGGACAATTATCTACTTTTTTAACCAAATTATTTTAGATAAATTCCAATCTGGTTTTAAGATGTGGGCATAGTACTGAATCAGCCATTTAAAGGGTTGTAAATGACCTTCGGCTATTCAGTAATCAAGTAATCATGTAATCATGTGGCATTAGCTCTATTGGATCTTACCATTGATCATTTAATCCTGAACTGCTTAAAACAGTTTGTTGGAATCCAGGGAATGATTTTAAATGTTTTTTTCTCTTACTTGGAGCAAAGATCTTTTATAGTGAAATTTGGTCATTAATTTTCTTTCCCAGCGCCCATTACCTGTGGGGTCCCACAAGAATCCATTTTTTGGGTCCAGTTTTGTTTTCACTATATGCTCCCTTTGGGAATGATAAAAAAAAAATTAACATGGTATCTCCTATCATCTCTATGTGACCCAGGCAGCTAAAGTCACCTGTGAGACGCACCGGTCTCTCGATCTTCAGCGTCGTCGCTCCTCTTTTTATGCTTCCGTTCCTCCATGAGAGATGCCGGTGAGGTGCGTCTCACAGGTGACGTTCATTAACACTCACGCCACCGGCCTCGCGCCGTTCCCTCACGCCGTTTGCTAATGGCAACATCTCTTACCACTGCTCCATCTGTTTTCCTGAAGCCAAAATACTTCCACACTAGGGGTGGGAATCTTTGGTCACCTCACGATCCGATCCGATTCCGATTCTGGGAGTCACGATCCGATTCCAGAACGATTCTTTATCTACCTTTCCCCCCCTCATTAATTCATTAGTTTACATAAGTAGGCCTAATTAAGTACTTTTTAAAAAATAATTACAAATTAAATTTTTTTTATTAAAACAGTTGTATGTTAAGAATTTTAAACTAATATAACAAATAATAAAGAGGAGCATAGAAAAATATAACAAACAACAAACAAAAAGTGCTTTCAGTAGCCTATAGATTATCTGAACGTTTTCCATTCAAGAACTGTGAGTGATTTTTCTTCATCTTTACTGTTGTTTTTTACTATGACATCATAGACTGCGGGAGATCTATTAAGCTGCATTCACGCACGCATCTCTTTTGAAATAAAAGTAGTAATGCGGTGTGTCCTGTCCGTTTAATCCCTTAAGACATAACTGGCTGTGTTTACGTTAATTTTGCACAAGTACATTAAACCACTACACGGAGTCGCACAGCCGCATGCGCGAGCAGTCTCACGACACAAACAAAGTGCGCGTCAGCATTCGAAATTGAAAGCAGCCTTCTGTTAGTGAGGCTCATATTTTAAATATATAAGTCCACTGCATTCCAAACCACATAAATGATGACTTCGTAGAGCATTTGTAAGGAAAATACCGACGGGCGAGACAGCACACTTCAAGTGTAACATCAAAGAAAGCGCGCATCTCTCACAGCGTATCCTGTGCAATGAAGCCTGTGAATGTCCTTGTAATACGCTTCAACCTTTCCGAACTTTATGAAAGATTATTTTACGGAAGGTTCGAGTGGTGTATGTGTGTGAGGAATTGTAAGCAAGCAGAATACGGGTGTTTCTAAAGCAAACTCAACGTCATCGCACATCTGGTTAAAAACTAAGCTCCGAATCGATTCTGGAATTCTCAGAAGCGATCCAGAATCGTTGGAGAGAGAATCGCGATGCATCGATGGATCGATTTTTTCTCCCACCCCTATTCCACACCCATGACTTGATGCCGACTAGAGTGTGTAACATTTCACTTTCATTGCCAGCTCGCTCTGACGGTTGCATCGCTCTTGAAAGTCAGACTCAACAATGTGTGTGAACATAGATAGACTGTGAAATAGGGGTCGACCGATTATCGGCGCCAATATTAAGCATTTTTATGGTTATCGGTCATTTTCAAAACCGATTTGCCGATAAAATAATTGTATTTTGAAATGCGCTATATTTGGCTCTGACGCAGCCACCTTTGTCGGAACTCACCACTCTGTAGACTAGACTAATGTCCCCGCACATCTAATTTGTTGGGAGTCACGAGTCCGGCCAATCAGCGCGGAAAGCTGAGGCACTGAAAGTGTTGGACTCTCACACCGAGAGAGCACTCGCTGACTAGAGCTGCTTCACTGATCACGCTTCAGTTGTCTCTCAAAGTTAAGGCAGCAGCAGACTTTGCTGAAGAAGCAATAGATTACTACACTGAAGTTGCAAAATACCTCAATATAATAGAGCCCTGTGATTTCCGCGATGCAGAACAGACGGAGTCGTGGAATCCAGTCATAAAAACGGAATTTACTGTATAAAGCGGAATATCATGGAATTTGTCAACTTTTTGATGAATTAATAAAAAGCAGGTCAGTACAAATCAAACCGCAAAAAGACTATTTAAATATGAATCCTGCGTGTCTCTAACGTTAAATGAATGGCGCAGACGCGTGATTTCAGTTACCACACACACACACACACTGGAGCACGCGTGACGCTTGCGCTGTTTTCAGCCTCAGCCGCATCATTATATGAGGACATGATTGCATAAACATCATCTCCAGAGCCGCTTAGTCACTTCATGAGCTTTTTAATGCTTCAACTGAGAAAAGATAATCGACATATCATACACACACAGAAACTCAAAGATCTCCACGGCAACCCGTCAAAATAAAAGTTAGGTTTTTCACAAGGCCCTAAAAATTTAATTTTTGTTAAACTGTAAATAAATTGAATAAGTTTGATTTTAATTAATTAGAAATGCTTTTTGATTACTAAAATTTTATTTAAAAATTAAAATAGTCTTTAAGTTTTACAAAATGTTTACAGAATGCTGCTGGGTGCTCCCTGCACTTTTTACAAGTTATTATTATTATTATTATTATTATTAATAACAGTTCTCAGATTCAAAGATATGTTTAAAATCATTTAAAGAAAGTATTTGTCAAAACCCTTTGTTATTCTTAATTTTGACATTAATTTAAAGTTTTACACCAGACATAGCTATAATATATATATATGTATCGGTTCAAAATATCGGTTATCGGTCTATTTCATCTGTAATAATCGGAATCGGCATCGGCCCTGAAAATCACATATCGGTCGACCCCTACTGTGAAAAAAATAAACACATTTTGCCGCCTGTCTGTTCTCCTGTATATTTTCAGCATCCGCTCCGACATATGGGTACAACCTACTCCTAAGCTGCGGGTGGCGCTAACCTGATTATTGTCTTCTACTTCACACCGCTTCACACGCGTTACTTACGTTTCACTCTTGCGGACGCATCGATGCATCGAATCGTTGGCTGTATAATCGATGGATTGATATGAATCGATTAATATTTAAACCCCTAAATTAGTGCCCTTTCACATCAAAACTAGGCCAAGTTGTAACTTATGGAACCTTAACTGGTGCTATTGTCCCTTGTGCAGTACCATCTCAAACCTAATTGACCTAAACTACCTAATCTCAAGCATGGTGGTGGAAGAATCATGATGTGGGTGCTTTAAAGTGGCAGGGACAACTCTAAAAAAAGTCCTTAGTGGCTCACCCAGAGACCGTACTTAAACCTTATCAAACATCTCTGGAAAAACTTGAAAATGGCCATCCACCGCTGGTTCCCAATCGGCCTGATAGAGCTTGAGAATAATCCCCAAATCCAGGTTTGAAAAGTTTGTTGCATCATACCCAAAAAAGCTTGAGGATCTAATCAGTGCCAAAGGTGTTTCAACTAAGAACTGGTTAATGGTAGTGTCTAAATATTTATGCTAAAATGAAATATCAGTTGTTTCTTTTGAATAAATTTGCACAATAATCACTAATCTGGTTTTTGATTTGCCATAATGAACTACAGAGTGTAGGTTGATGGGGAAAAACAAACAATGATTTTAAAGCGTGTTGTTGTGTGTAAGGGAGCAAATAATGGGCTTACATTGTATGATTTGGGGTGTCTCTGTTTCCACTGAACCAGGACAAGTTGGGCAATGACGAGTGTGACAATGAGAATGAGAACCATCTCTGCATGCATGGCTTCATGCCCTTTGTGTTTGGCATGCATTTTAGCATGTTCCAACCTGCAAAACAGAAAAGAAAACCTTAAAATAAGCACACATTTATAAACAATCAATTACATAATCAGTTTTTAAAGATGCAATCTTTTAGCTGTTACTTGTTAATATAGATTTGGCACAAGTAACTTACAGCAGTAGCTTTCAACTAGTGGGTTGTAACAAGGGGTGTGCACAAATAGCTGAATATTCTAATGTAAATGTAATTATTAGAAAAAATTAATATACTATTCGAATTTTGCTACACGTTGCTTTGCTGGCTGTAAATGCAGTGAAATCCTAAACACGCAAACTAAAACTCAGTTACAACTAAAAGCCCTGGGTGGCTCTGTGGAGCTTCTTAACAAGTTGACTGCAAATGGATCAATATGTCGTGTGGAAACATTATCAGGTGAAACTGAGTTATCATAAATATCATGAAATCCAAACACCAGTCAAATGAGGAAAGACAGCTGTCCATCACTTCATTCACTTCTTCAGGTAAGCGCAGCTGTACACTCAAGTGAGCCGAGAAGATAACTTATAGTAAAATGATCGAGACGTTTTGTCAAGGGAGACCTTTTTAAAAACAGAAAACACAAAGCGCTGTAAGAAACTTTGCTTAGCACACCATTATACGTGTCCCTGCAACGTCTGTCGGTGAAGAGCATTTTCCCTGCACCTGGACTTATTGTTATCAGACTGAGGAGCATGTGGATAATCTTTTTTGATTATGAACATGTGCATGTGAAACAATATAAAAACTATAACCATATGCTGACTCGTGTGTATATGTACGTTTCAGTTCTCTTTCATGCTTGCACTTGAACACGAACACACAGAATAATGTCAAAATGACCGTATTGGCGAGTGTTCACGTAAACGCAGTCGTTACGTCTTAAGTGAATATAAACAGCTCTGCATCAACTCAGATGTGTATCAGTATATTTGATCGGTCTTAAACTGACAGCAGCCTACACTGTAAAAAAAAAAATTTTAATACGTTTTTGTCCACATATGTTTATTGGCCACAGATCGGTATCGGCCGATAATCACATTCTATGACTCGATCGGGAGTCACTAAATTTGGCTGATCTCACCAAATGATCGCAAAGTGATGACGTCAGACTTCAGCACCGCAGTCATGTTATCACCAGTGTGGAGTTCTTGCGCGGTCTCAAGAAACAATGCATTTTTAAGCCTTGCGATTTAAGAACAAGTGATTTGAAACGGCTCATGCGCAGTAAACCGTGAAACCGTGCTCATTCGATTTGTGCATGCGCTGTCTGAGAGACGGGTTCTGGGAGAAGTCAGCGCACACACCTGATGCACACACATAAAGCTGCTGCTTATACAGCACGTGAGTACTTATCTTACTGGGCTTGAACGGTTAAATGCACACACTTGTGTGTCAAAATGCACGTCTTTGGGCAATCACAATTGCGAGTTTACATCTGTGAGATGTAAGAACATCTGTATGCTCTGAGAGCAATTGTGAGGAGAAAAAAAAGTCAGAATTGTGAGATAAAAAGTCGCAATTACCTTTTTAATTTTTTATTCTGTGGCGGAAACTAACTTCAACACACATGACTTTATTCTCAGAATTGCATGTTTATATCTCGCAATTCTGACTTTATAATACACAATTGGGAGAAATAAAGTCAGAATTGCATGACAAAGTCGCAATTGCGTGTTATTGATTGATTGAAAACTTTATTAATCCCGATAGGGAAACTGGTTTGCCACCAAGCATACAAGCATCAAACACAATACACAACAAACAGACAAATAAATAAATAATTCTGCATTAGGTGACTAATAAACCCTAATTAGGAGACACAATAAAAAAAAAATTAAAGTCATTATAAAGTCAGAATTGCGAGATATAAACTCGCAATTGCATGTTATAAAGGCAGAATTGTGAGTTATCTATAACATAGTTTATATATATATATATATATATATATATATATATATATAAGTCGCATGCTTTTAGGACTTCCATAAAACAAGGAAACTATGTGGGTTTTTTTTTCCGAGTGCCTTCATAGATGGCACATAGATGGCACACTATGGAAACATTTTACTCGTGTAATCAGCATCAATTATTCAGACTTGTAGCTTATAGCACGAGAAGGCAAAATATGGTTTATGAAAGCTTTCTATATTAGAGATCACTCAATTTGTATTTGTTTACATAGTCAAAAGAAAGATCCTGTACTGTATTCTGTGTAATTGTTTCACAATATAGCTATTGTAGCCTTTATTTTACATTAGGCTAAACATTTGTTTAATCATTTATAATAGCCTTATAATACAAATAATAATAATAATTAAAGCTGCAAGCAGCATTTTAGCGGTGTTCAAGCAGTTAAGGCCTTTCAGGCCGTTAAGCACAAAAGCATCAAAATACATTAAGTTTTATGTAGCAAGCATGATTTACCATGATATACTACATTTCAGTGTGATTTTTCATGATTTATCATGTTCCAGTATGATTTACCATGAATCTAACATGATTTTTCCATAGTTTACCTTGATATACCATGTTATAGGATGATTTACCATGATATAGCACATTCTAGAATAATTTACCAGGATTCTAACATGATTTACCTTTTTTACTATGATTTACCATGTTTCTGGCGTTATTTACCATGATTTACCACGTTGATAGCAATTATGTGAAGCATAAGAACAATTGAAGTGATAAACGCTGACAAAATAAGAATGTGTTATAATAGTAATTGTTATATAAGTGATTTTATAGTGTCTATATACAAAAAAAGACTATTAATAAGAAGAGTGGCCAGCAGAGGGCAGTAGAAGACCACTTATTGGCTCACTTTCATTTTCAACTACTTTGTTTCTCCAGTATTCTCCACTGAAGCAAACCATTTTTTTCATGTTAACTCCATAATGCCTGCTTACACACACACACACACACACACACACACACACATACTGGTACGGGTGGTTTATAAAGACTTTTTCCCCTAAAAAGTTCCATCCTGGTTTATGGGGACCCACCTTTCCCTTTGTCATAGAGATTAATAATAAATATTAAACTGCTCCTTATGGCATGGGGTAAAAATCTGACTGCTCAGAATTTAATTCTAATGAAACAGTCTGGTAATATGAAGACCTGACAAACTAAAGCACTGTAAGGACAGGGCAGGAGTGGGCGTTTCCTGATTGAATTATGATTTATGAGGACTACCCTGGTTTATCTGGACATCACTTACATACATACACACACACACCTGACCCTTACTTATGAGGACTAACCTGGTATCACCTGGACTAACTTTACCCATGAGAGTGCCACATCACTTAAGTTTGTTTCAATACGAGCATATAGAAAAACAAAACAAGAAATGATCAGCAATTGTTCAACCTGGCTTAAACTTTAAGAGAGATTTCAGAAAACTAACCTGAGTTTGTAATGTGAGATTTAGCAGGTGTGAAGTGAGTGAAGAGCAAAAAGAGAAGAGTGAAAGTGAAATACGGAAATATTTTAGCTTTAAAAATTAAGAAATTAAAAAACCAAAAGGAGAGTTTACTATTTAACCATCACTGACAAATGCATTCACCCACAAGTATTTTTCATAATTGAACCTTGAATGTCAGTCTTAATTTATTCATTAGATTTTAAGAAGTTTTGTCTAAAGATAGTTTTGAATAAAGCTAAATATTTCCAGTTGATTGGGTTTGGGTTTTGTTAATGTGAAAAGAGAAGATTGTTCAAGACTTGGTATTAGTATCTAAATGAACATTGCTGACCATTTGGGTTTAACTGGACATCAGTAACCATATGAATCATGCATACACACACACAACCCTAACTAACCCTTGATTATGGGGACATTTTGGGTTTAACTGGACCTCACTCACACACACACACACAACCCTAACTAACCCTTGATTATGGGGACATTTTGGGTTTAACTGGACCTCACTCACACACACACACACAACCCTAACTAACCCTTGATTATGAGGACATTTTGGGTTTAACTGGACCTCTCACACACACACACACACACACACAAACACCTGACTAACCCTTGATTATGAGGACATTTTGGGTTTAACTGGACCTCACTCACACACACTCTCAAACACACACAAACACCTGACTAACCCTTGATTATGAGGACATTTTGGGTTTAACTGGACCTCTCACACACACACACAAACACCTGACTAACCCTTGATTATGAGGACATTTTGGGTTTAACTGGACCTCTCTCACACACACACACACACACACAAACACCTGACTAACCCTTGATTATGAGGACATTTTGGGTTTAACTGGACCTCACTCACACACACTCTCAAACACACACAAACACCTGACTAACCCTTGATTATGAGGACATTTTGGGTTTAACTGGACCTCACACACACACACACCTAACTAACCCTTGATTATGAGGACATTTTGGGGTTAACTGGACCTCACTCACACACACTCAAACACACACAAACACCTGACTAACCCTTGATTATGAGGACATTTTGGGTTTAACTGGACCTCACTCACACACACTCTCAGACACACACAAACACCTGACTAACCCTTGATTATGAGGACATTTTGGGTTTAACTGGACCTCACACACACACACACACACACACACACACAAACACCTGACTAACCCTTGATTATGAGGACATTTTGGGTTTAACTGGACCTCACTCACACACACTCTCAAACACACACAAACACCTGACTAACCCTTGATTATGAGGACATTTTGGGTTTAACTGGACCTCACACACACACACACACACACACACACACACCTAACTAACCCTTGATTATGAGGACATTTTGGGTTTAACTGGACCTCACTCACACACACTCTCAAACACACACAAACACCTGACTAACCCTTGATTATGAGGACATTTTGGGTTTAACTGGACCTCTCACACACACACACACCTAACTAACCCTTGATTATGAGGACATTTTGGGTTTAACTGGACCTCACACACACACACACACACACACAAACACCTGACTAACCCTTGATTATGAGGACATTTTGGGTTTAACTGGACCTCACTCACACACACTCTCAAACACACACAAACACCTGACTAACCCTTGATTATGAGGACATTTTGGGTTTAACTGGACCTCACACACACACACACACACACACACACCTAACTAACCCTTGATTATGAGGACATTTTGGGTTTAACTGGACCTCACTCACACACACTCTCAAACACACACAAACACCTGACTAACCCTTGATTATGAGGACATTTTGGGTTTAACTGGACCTCACACACACACACACACACACACACACCTAACTAACCCTTGATTATGAGGACATTTTGGGTTTAACTGGACCTCACTCACACACACTCTCAAACACACACAAACACCTGACTAACCCTTGATTATGAGGACATTTTGGGTTTAACTGGACCTCACACACACACACACACACACACACACCTAACTAACCCTTGATTATGAGGACATTTTGGGTTTAACTGGACCTCACTCACACACTCTCAAACACACACACACCTGACTAACCCTTGATTATGAGGACATTTTGGGTTTAACTGGACCTCTCACACACACACACACACACCTAACTAACCCTTGATTATGAGGACATTTTGGGTTTAACTGGACCTCATTCTCAAACACACACAAACACACAAAAACACCTGACTAACCCTTGATTATGAGGACATTTTGGGTTTAACTGGACCTCTCACACACACTCTCAAACACCTGACTAACCCTTGATTATGAGGACATTTTGGGTTTAACTGGACCTCATTCTCAAACACACACAAACACCGGACTAACCCTTGATTATGAGGACATTTTGAGTTTAACTGGACCTCTCACACACACTCTCAAACACACACAAACACCTGACTAACCCTTGATTATGAGGACAAACTGGGTTTAAATGGACATCACTATTAACTCCACACATAGCAGGAGTACCTGTATTAGAGTTAACCATACTAAACCAAATCAACTATTCTACATTAAAGCGTGAATTCACAAATGATTGTGCATCTTTTTGCTGCCACTAAACCTGTAAAAGTAATACGCACACCTAAGGAAATAGTGCTACAATGTGCTGTTGCTATATCAACCAACATATACACATGGTGCAAAATGAACCTTGTTGGAGAAAATTCAGTGATCAAAGATCAGCAAGTTTTACACTTCATAGAAGACTAGTTAAAGGGCAATTAGATGAAGAAATGCAACTAGACAGCCAATAAAAACTAACAAAATTAAACTGAAAGGGCAATTTTTATTTTGCAAATGGTAAAAAAAAGGCTCAACAACAGATCTAATAAGGCCATTATTAGAGATGCACCGATTGATCGGCTTGGGACCGGAATTGGCCGATTTTCACGTGATCGCCGGTCAGTCTGACATATGCCGATTTTATACTGGTCAAACGCACTCGGGCGCCAAATGATTAACATCGCTGAACATCAGCATCACACGTCCACATGGAACGCACATGTAGAAAACCTCGTGAATTACGGCCGTTTCACACCGCAAGCGTGAGAGGCACGTATTTTTTTCGGCGTGCATGTTAACCAGTGAGTGCATCACACCGGGAGCGGGAGCAGAGCGTGAGCGTCAAGCAGGAGCGGCGTGTGAGAAGCAGTGAAGCGGTTCAGAGTCTATTTTTGCTGCGCTGCTCGCACTCAATTAAAGTGAAAGCACACTTTTTTTGATGGGCAAAATAAATATGATTTCACACAAAAAGTGCCCAAAATGCACAGAATTTGCATGTCTAGTGTGTTTTAACAAGAACTGGAGTAGGCTATGTCAGAAAAGAAAATGAAGACTCAAATATTTATAGAAAATTCACCCATTTAAACTTGTTTTTATTATTCAGTTTGGGTAGAAGTATATGGTGTTTTATAAAAAAAAAAATATAGAAAATAAATATTTGTGTGTGCTGTAAAGTGATTAGAAAAAATGAAATCGGAATCGGCTAAAATCGGTATCGGCAGGTCAAACTCGGAAAAATCGGAATCGGCGCATCTCTAACCATTATGGGACTAAAGTGCATGAGGGAGTGTGCCTCAAAATGACCTCAGCAACACACTGGAAATAAAACCAAATTAAATTGCCTTCCAGTAAATGCATGTATTTGTACATTTCTTTCAAAACAGTGTTTTAATAAAAGTAAATAAAAGGATGTCTTGAACACTCTTCTGGCCCAGGAACACTTTAGAGAACAAAACCCAGACATTAAAGGTTGTATCAGCGATTTCAGGCCCAAACATAAATGATCACATTCATCTAATCTTTCCTAACGATCCGCTAGCTGGCCGCCCCATAAGTATGCAGTCCAAAAACCGCGTCTCTGTAGGCAGCCTAGGCTCTGAGATCTGCACACAAAAACAATGGGTTTCACCAACCACTCAAAACCAAAATAAACAGTGTTCCAACCAATCACCGACAGTTCCAACCAATCACCGCAAAATCTCAAACCACAACACCCCCACCTTTTGTGTGCAGATCTCAGAGCCGAGGCTGCCTACAGAGACGCGGTTTTTGGACAGCATGCTTATGGGGCGGGCAGCTAGCGGATCGTTAGGAAAAATTAGATGAATGTGATCATTTATATTTGGGCCTTTTCTGGGCCTGAAATCGCTGATACAACCTTTAATGGAAGGCGACACTGATCTCTCGAAGAACTCTAAGAAGATTTCTTTTTCAACATCAAACCTCGGTTCCTCACGAAATCCCTTATATTTTGGGCCGTTCTTTCTCTCAGAAGAGGGTCCTCTGCAGCCTTGCACTGCTCACACTCTGCCTTTGTTGCAAGGTGTCCCTTTGAAATGTGGACTCTGAAATGTTTCATGACAGCATTCACTTCATTTGGGCTCCATGGCCTTTTCACAATTCTCCTCAATTTGGTTTCTGTAAAACAAACAAACATATACATACACATATGTATACCTATACACCTATATGTATATACATGGAATAACTTTAATATACCCAAATGTTTAAATACCTCTGGAGTTCTCAGTTTCATCCTGATTCATTTGGCTTTTTCCTGAGGGGTAAAAAGCAACAATTAAAATGTATTCCAGCCCTACAATCCAAACAGTTTCGGACCATGTGAAATATCAGCAGATAAGCACACAGGGAAAACTAGTCTCTGGTCCTGTGTAACATGAAAAGGACCACTTTACACTGAATTACTGTGGAAGATAAAAAATAAAACATGAACCCAAAATCAACATGTATCCTTTTTCTCAAATAAATATCTAAAATATATGCGCACACACATACCTGTGGAGCTGTCAGCCTCACCCAGGCCCATTTTTGTTTTTTCTAAGGGAAAAAAAGCAACACACTATTCCTCTTCTCTACACGGCAAACAGGTATATAATATATATAATTATTATTATTATTATTATTATTATTATGTAAATATGAGGGCTCTGAACCAGTTTAAAGAATGAAAACAAAAACTGGGGAAAAACCAGAAACGATTACTTGAAATGACCATTAACCGGTTAATAATGGTGTTTTTTTCCCTTCTTTTTTCTGTTTAAAGGGTAATTCCACCGGTTGAGACATGAATATGTATTGAAAGTGGGTCATATATGTAATAGAATAGTAGCATACATTTCTAATTTGGGTCCTTCTTGGCCGATAAAAGGCAGAAAATGACTTTTTAGTGCTTGTGGATTGTAGACAACAATCCCCATAGTGCATTGCAATGCTCAGTTCCGCAGGCCACTCCCACTACCTACCGCCTGGAAATCATTTCACACAATTTCTAGTGAAGAGTTACTTTGCGAACTAATTATTTGCTTTATCATGCTCGTTAGCTTATACCTGCGTGCATGAAGTTGTCTGGACTTGTGTTCTTCCACAGCTTTCTCAGTCCTTTTTACCGTCTTGTTCATCCATAACGAGCGAATGTTTACACACTTTATTAGTGCAAATATCAAAACCGTAGGGTGAGCTTAACACACACACTGCGTTCCACTTCGTCGTTTCGAAGTATACGAAGTATAAGTATAATATATATAATATATTCTTTTGAATCGGACACAGGCGTTCAACACATCATTTTCAAATTTAATTTTTATATCATTATTTTAAATTACTATTGTCCCAGTTTCAGTAAGGAACTCTTGTAATAAAGTAGCAGTGGTTGGGATATTATATTTTAAGTATCAACCCCACTTAAAAAGATGCAATCTAATCCGGTTTACATGAAATAAGCTTCGAGGAGGTTTAAGTTACGGACCACTATAGCAACACTATGACAGCAAGTCCAGGATGAGCACTGAAGAACCAAACAATCCAAGATCATGCCAAATCATCCACAATCAAATCCCACTAACTGAGTGGCGTACGAAAAACGGACCCCAGTTCCTTACTACCCTTGCATTGAAAACAAGACAGTCTCCAAAGCGTGCGCGTAACTGTATGAGGTTTTGTCGTCAGTTTGAGGATGGACTGGAGTTATGAGGTTTATTCACAAGCTGTTAGCATCGAGTTCAATTCAATTTCTGGTATTAGTTATTAACCAGTATGGTTTCTAATCAAGCCGTTCTCTGAACAATAATGTTTCACAAGTAACGCATGAACAGAAATGTAAGGTTGGATTTTCTTTTTTTTTTAAAGCCCTGGTAAATATATAAATATACATTAAAACATACCGTTGGAACTTTCTGTCTTGTCCTGGGTCAACTTCATCCCTTCTTTGCTTCCTACATTTAGAAAATGAAACCATACTTAAAACTTGACAACCCAAATACTTTGTTTCTGATAATCAGAAACCTGATGTAGTGAATACACTACACCACTGATGCTCACTGGAATTAAATTCATTACATACCGCTTACTCCAGAGACAGGCTCAGACTCTTCATTGTCGTCATCGCTTACTTCTTCCTCATCTAAATCCAGATCAATTTCATCTATAGAAAAACATATTTGACAAACATCCCCATACACCTGCATTAGTGCACATATACAATTCCTAAACTTCCTTATCTAAAGAAATGAGAGGTACTCATTCAAAAAAATGAGGTACTCATTAAAAAAAAACCTCATTGACCTCAAAAACATCTTTTCTGAGTAACCTAATTAGCTTCAAAGTTTTTCTCTACATGTAATTTAGAATTGTCCTGTTACTGTACCGTAACATTATTATTATTATCATATAAAATAAGGCACAAACCTTCGATCTCAATTTCATCAAGAGACTTTCCTTGGAAATTGACAAGAGTTCCTTTCTCCATTGCCAAGAGCAGCTTTGAAATTTTTGCAATTTCTAGTTGCATCTGGCAACCGATAATAGTCTCTATGGACCCGAATGTCGTGGCCCAAAAAGTTGGCTAGTTGATCAAGCTCATTATCCTTAAGATTAAGAACCTGGGACATTGTTGCCACCTGCTTACGGAGCTGTGTAGACCGGAGATATTCTGGGTGCTGTGCACCACACTGACTTGCAAAAAGCCTGATGCAGTCCTGTCCTCTGAAGAAGCTGTTGGGCGAGCACTTCGGTCTTCCAAATAGGAAGGGGTTGTCCCCGTCTACTTCACATGCATCTCTCTTGTCCACAAGAAGTTTTATTGCACGGACAAGTTCAGGGTTTAACAAAATTGCAACTTTTCTCCCTTTCTTGCCCATAATTTCCACTCTGCTGAAATGCTTGGCCATTTTTTGCTCAAATGGAGAGAGACTGACGGCGATATCATCATGGAGCTCAGTCTGGTCTCTTTTCCTGAAACACTCAAGCGTCATTTTTGAAACCTCTCCTGCACGACGTCTATTAAAGATTATAACTTGTGCAAGTGTCACTTTGGCGAGTTCTGCATATGTTTGTGAAGACTCATGATTTTTTAGGCTTTCAAAAGCATCAGCTGATTTTTTCTCTAGGTGCTGGTGGAGAAGCTGCACATCATGTGTGAATGGTATAGTTGATGGTTTGTTGAACTTTGATTTGTTCAAAGTAGCAAGAGCAGCATGGGAGACATGTTCTGCCCATTCACTTGAGCACAGTCGTTTAAATCGCTCTGCTGCTTTTGTCATGCCATCATCCTCTGCTGCGATGGCCCTGCAGAGAATGATGTCACCGATCTTGTTGAGCGAGTGTCCTAACTTCAGCGCAAGGCTTGGTGTCTTATATGAGTGGCTCTTTTCATCGTAGCCAGCAACATCTTTCACAGCCTCAATGACTTTGTAAAAATTGTTTGGCTTCACAGCATCTTCAAAACTAAATATGAAGTATTTTTTTCTCAAGGTTAGCAAGAGTCTGCCCATTTCCCGAACCTTCTGTCTGATGTATTCGGATTTTGTTGGATCACTTCCATGCTTGTTGTAAAGACACTGACTCAACTGCAGTATGAGGAAGTCATTTCGAACCACAGATGAAATGTCATCAATCTTCATGTTTCCCAAAATCTTCCACACCTCCGGAGATATTGCCTGGGAGAATGTTGACTCTGCAATATCAGCCAAAACTAAGACTTTGGCCTTACCAGTTGCTTCAGACTCTGAAAACATCTTTGAAGGGCATCTCCGTGTATGGCGCCACAGCTCCTTGCGAACAAACATGCCTTTACAGTATACACAGTGCACATATGTTTTGGCACTCAGTTCAATGTCTGATCGTCCTGGCCGCCTTCTAACTTTCAGTGGTCCACTTTTACTTTCCATAACCTCTTGATTATGTTCATAGTTGCCTCTGTTTCGTAATTTCTGAAGTAACCTTTTTCTGTCCTGGGAGTGTTTAGGGAGCAAGAATGCAGCAGCAATTTCTGTCTCACTGTCTTGATGCTTTTTAAAGTGGCGGGCTATTTTAGACTGTGGTTTCTTGCAGACATAACAGTAGTTTTTGTGGGTGGAAATAGTGTTTTTGGGGTTTGGCACATTGTCAGTCTCTGAGCTTTCACAAGAAGACACTGCTGGTGTTTTCTTATAACTCTGAAGCATCTCAGTATTGTGTGTAGTAGTATCATGATCATCACAAGTGAGGTCTTCAGCATAACTGGATCTAACCATTTCTTGCTCAGTGGAAGAACAGGGAATGGGTTGTGGTGGCACACTCTTTGCTCTCATAGAAGACTCTGAAAAAGCTGGTGTGGACTTATAATATGGTGGATTGCATATATTGATAGATACACTATCATCACTATCGCTATTTTGTCTAGAGTCCGGGATAAAGTCATCAGAGGAAGATTCTTCAGTGTGTTTATCAGCGTGAGGAGAATACTCTTCATCAGAACCAGATTCTTCAAAGCTGGAAAATTCAACATCTGGCTAAAAAAAAAAAAAAGAGAACAATAATAACAAAAATAATAATACAATAATAGTGTACCCTGCTTATAGTCCAGCACAGTTTTGATGTAACAAACTTGAAAATGTTTATGTAAAAGAAGGTGATGTAAAAGAAATTAACATACCAGTGTCATATTCAGGAAGCAGGTTTTGTGCCATGATCTTGAACATACTGAAAGAATATAAAAATAAGCATGTTTCTTTTAGGTTTTTTACCAGATTACTGCTCATTTTAAAATGCCGAAAACAATAGATATGCCTTTGAAATAATAATGATTTGAATAAAACATTTAATAAAAGCCCATTTTGTTTTCAAACAAAAATGAAAACACATACAAACATATATGAGTGATGCAGATACTGACATTTGCATGTAAGGCCAAGCCATTTTCGACTTGACACAGGTCCACTGCAATCTTCACAAGAATCCAAACTGGAGATAACAGCACTGTGAACTTCATGGTGGCACTATAACAAAAATTATTTATTAAATCAACATATATTGAACATAGCACAACTTTCATTCCAGAGTGTGGTGTGAATGGGCCTCAACAGTTTACGTCTCTGTGACTGAAAGTCACAAAAGCATATCCAGATTGAAAAGTGTGCATATTGGGTCTACAGCTTATCCACAATAAAGAAGCAGCCGACACATACCCAAAGCAACATCTTTTCAACAAACCCTAACCCTGACATGATGGTCCTCGTAGTGGAGAACTGTCCTTACATTTCAGGTCAGTGTCATGCCCATCCCCCAACGCTCGAGTTATGAAAATGAATGAACCGAGCAAGGTACATTTTACTCGAATTTGAGACGTCACAACAGCGTCTTTAAGACGACAGTCCACGTCAACCAGTCTAGCATGATGCCCAACCATCCTACACTTAACATTGCCTGTGTCAAAGAGAAGAAAACAATGAAGGAACATGCACTCACTTACTTTCTGTTTCACTGATGAGGAAGGATTCACACTGCATTCAGTCACAGCCACTGATGTCTCGTCACACAATTCCTGTAATTATGAGAAAGACAGGTACAACACTGAGGCAAGGATGCTTGCCAATTGGTCACCGCAACTAATTCTAGTATCAACCAAAGACTAAATATCTAGTGTCCCTTTCATGGCTCCGTCGTGCACAAAGCAGACATATAAAACATGCAAGGAGGAGGCTGATACATGTAGATCTTGTCTATAAAGTCAAATAAATCAAATACACATCAACATACCATTTCCTTTCCAGTCAAAGCTGAATCTCCTTTCTTTGCAACCATCTTTGATGTGGTCATCTGAAATCAGACAGAGCAATTGTATGCTGTTGTCATAAAATGGTTTCATTCTGATGCATAACATTTAACAAATTAGTATGAACGCGGATGTTATTTATGCTTTCCCTCCTAAAATGACCCTTAAAATATTAGATATTAGACAAGAAAATCTCCCTAAACGCAAACCCCTCCCCGCTAGCTGAGGACAGGATGAATTTTACCAACTAAAAAAGGCCTGTTCAAACTAAAAACTATATATCTATTAAATTATAGGCCTAAAAAATCCTCTCAGTATTAAAGAATAGCAGAGCCTACACCACAGCTTACGCGATAACACAGAGAAACAAAAACAAAAATAATCACTTTCAGAACGATTTTACCAGCTGAGAAACGCTAGAAACCTTGGCAGTAGGGGTGTAAAGATACCCTCATGTCACGATTCGATACATATCACGATACGATATTATAGAGATACTCCAAGACGTGGTAAAAGGGTAACTTTTTTTTTTAACTGTTGATTAAAATGCCTAATTAAACTCTGTAAACTTGATTGTTTCCCCTCACACAGTAATTTTTATTTTGGGTGTACTATCCACAATACATATTGTCACTATCCACAATATATATTGTTGCATTTTTGTATTGCGATATATTGCTTAATTGACAGCCAATCGGAATCAATTCTGCTATAACATGCTTCAGTATATAAGCGGCAGTCAAAGATGCGATCACAATAAACAGAACGTTACCGTCTGCTGGTTGGACCCTAACACAGTTATGGTTGGTGTGAATGGGCCTTAACAGTTTACGTCTCTGTGACTGAAAGTCACAAAGCATATCCAGATTGAAAAGTGTGCATATTGGGTCTACAGCTTAGAAGCAAGCAGCCGACACATACCCAAAGCAACATCTTTGCCTCAAACCCTAACCCTGACATGATGGTCCTCGTAGTGGAGAACTGTCCTTACATTTCAGGTCAGTGTCATGCCCATCCCCCAACGCACGAGTTATGAAAATGAAAGAAACCAATTCCATTTTACACAAAGGAACAAATATTATCCAACAGATTGACTGAATTTATATCAATCTGTAGCCTATAATAATTCCAATCGTAATTTCAAAAGCAGTTATGTTAAAAAAATAGAAAAAAAAAAACTTCATGGGGTTCCATATAGGCTACAGAAAGAGTTTTTAAAAGCATGGTTGTGTAACAAGGTGCGTGAGGTGGGGGATTTCCCCCCTCCACAGTAATCAATGCTATAGCCTAATTCACCAATAGACCACATCAAATATATTATATATTTTTAAAAATATGCAACACGCACGTTTAAACAACAAACAATACAATCTGAACTGGCGCTTCTGCTCCTGTATTGAGAGATAACATGCAGCGCGTTTCAGTTACGATCCTGGTTCCAGTGGCCTTAATACATTCACGGCTTTTCAGAATGTCACAAAGCGTTTTGAGATGTTTTTGAACAAAATATTGATGTTTATAATTAAGTGTATTGGCACACCGAGTGGCGCTACGCATTGTTCTAAAATTGGGTTTTATTCTGGCATGTTGAACTAGAGTTCGACAAACACGGCGGCGCGTTCACTTGAATTTATTTTTTTCTCATTACAGCTAAAAGAACTTAAAAGGCTAGCCTACTCCGCAATTTTTGGTCATACAGATAAGATATCATCTTTTTTTAAACTGTAAAAGGTCTACAATATG